TAAAGCTATATATCATTATCGAAGGGATTTTCTCCAAACTTAAATTTTGTGATAACGGGAACTACGGTTTTAGTATATTGCAATAACTTTGAGGGATTTTCGAAAATTCCACACAAATGAGTTGAAGGCGCGTCCTCGAACCTCAACTGTCGAAAAGAGTGATTATCTCTGGAATATTGAATAAAAACTCTAAGGTATGAATCATTGATCATGTTAAAGTAGTAGTACAAATCTAATCCGTACAAAGATGCTCGACATTCCGAGAGGAAAAGTTCCATCGTCACCGGCGACATTTTGAACCCGATTCCAAAGTACTTTAAAGAATTAGGGATTGATCGTGCCAATTCTATTATGGAACTGAGATCGAACGTTGTATCTTCAAGAACCTTCTTCAGAGTCAATGATCTAAGACTCATGTTGGATATGATCTCTCCAAAATGCGACAGTTGGAAGTGTGCAATATTCAAGGAAAGCGTGGTGATATTTGAACAATGTTGTGCAATAAAATCAAGATGTTCAATATTCACCATTTGAAGAGACAAGGTTCTCAGATTTTGACCTGACATTCTCAAGATCGGAATTAGAGTACTGGTGATCATATTCGGTTCCGCGTACTGTTGGAAATAAATGTGCTCAAGTTCTATTGAAGAGTATTTGGCCCCAGAATCTTCCCATGTTGACGGTATTGATGGTGTAATGCATAAAGTTTTCAGATTGGTGCAATTCCTCAAGAATGGAAGCAGTTGAACGAAGTCTTTCGTCCCAAGGATTTTCAGATAATTCAATGAGTGTGATTGGGCGACAAGTGCAGAATAAATGGAACTTGCCGTTGATGAATCCCAGAACTTGTATAGCTCGAGATATTCCAGATTTGTTTGAGATTTAATCAAGTCTGCCAAAGATTTTCCAAATCTGGATTGGAGATTCTGGTTTTCCGTCCCAAATATAATGGTGATATGCTGAAGGCTACGAACATTTCGAGTTAAAATCGTAAAAAGATTAACTATTCTATCCACGATCAACTCTGCGTTGTTGTTCCTCGTGACATTGTAACACAATTCAAGTTTTTGAAGTTTGGACAATCGGTGGTGAATTCCGGACTTGGCCACAATGTCCAGGTAATAGGTGTTATCTTGTTCATCTCGACTCATTTTCAAAGATATCAATCCTTTGGAACGGTTAAAGATCATATTTCCAATTATTTTCTTGCATATTCCAACGTAAGATGCGTTAAACTTTTGATGTTTTGGTGAGTAATTCTCCCATATCACATGAATCCAAGTTTTGATAGCTTCTTCATAATTCACAATATCTAAACTTTGTATGTACCCCGGATAATCGAATGTTGGCTTTTGAAATTCGGGGATTAGAAATAGTTCACTGTGAAATTGATTCTTTTCGCTATCTGAGAAACAAGACACGTAAGTTTCGATTATAAGGTCGGATTTTTTTGTACGTTCAGCAAACTCGAAGGGACAACGCCAAAGATGAGGGAT